GAGAGAGAGAGAGAGAGAGACAGAGAGCGCAGGCAGACACGGCTGTTGTGGGGTAGGAATTCAGAGGAACCAGGGGAAAACAGAACTGGCCTCTTCCAAGTTGGGTCTAAACCAAGGAGCTGTGACTAGAGGGAGGAAATGGAGATTGAGCCAGAAATGTGGTCCCCATGTTCTTGTGTCCAGCTGTCTCCGTCTTCCTGGATCTGCCGCAGGGGGATGGCACCTGTCACCCCTGTGTCTTTTTCTGGTCTGTGAAGAAAGGAGGCCAAAGGGAGGCCTCATTCCAGCCCCGGCCCAGCGCTATCTCAGCCCTGAGGTCGGGATAGCACCAGGGAGTGGCCCAGGGCCAGCCCCCTAGATGGCTCCAAGCCCCCAGGGTAGTGCAACCAGAAGGCTCCTCCCTGGGGTCTCAGGTTCCCTGCACTCTTTCAAGCCACGGAGGGGGACCCAGGCCAGCTGTGTAGGCTGTGCATGTCTGTGACGTCACTGTGATGCCATTCCTTCTCTGTGACGCATCACCCTACCTCATCTCTCCCTGGCCATCCCCCTCCCCCAGGGCGCAGCCAGCCAGGCCCCTTGTGACAGTAGGTGGGACAAATTTCAATGGGATCTTATAACTGTCAGAGTGCCACCTGCACAGGGCAGCTTGGTCTGGACCTTGACCATGACCTGCCCTGGTCCCCGTCATTCTACGGTTGAAAACTATGAGCCATTCCACGGCTGTGCACCTTCCCTCTTTGCCTTCTCCCTGCCCCGCAGGCCCCTGGGTTCGGCTTCTCCTGAGTGCCCCGACTTTCCTGTGTGCGGGTCCTGCCTTTCCGCTCCAGAGTGTCTCAGTGGGACAGTACGGGCATGGCTGGGGGAGGGAGCACCCCTGCATAGGGACCCTTCTCACCTGGGCCCCAGGTACTAAAGGTTGGTAGGAGCCTCCCTCCATTTAAACAGCCAAACCCCACGGGTATTTCCAGATGTCCCCTTACCATCTCCACCACTAATGCTTCCCATTGACAATTGCTTAAATAAGAGACAAAATAACAAAGGGGCGGGGGACAAATAATAAGCAACTGCTTTATTCTGGAGGATGAGTAACTACTACTGATCAATTTAAGTATTTATTGAACAGTTTTATGAACAATCGTAGTAAGTACATATATTGGGAGGGGTCCTGGGGACTGAACTCAGGGGCACTGGACCATGGAGTCACTTCCCCAGCCCTATTTTGTATTTTATTTAGAGACAGGGTCTCACTGAGTTGCTTAGTGCCTCACTTTTTCCGAGGCTGGCTTTGAACTCGAGATCCTCCTGCCTCAGCCTCCTGAGCCACTGGGATTACAAGTGTGCACCCCAGTTGCTAATATTTTTAACCCAAGCAAATCCAAGGGTTCACGTCTTAGGTCTTATCCTAGAATCAGGTTGGCCCGTGCCTGTAATCCCAGCTGCTCAGGAGGATGAGGCTGAGGCAGGAGGATCACAAGTTTGAGACCAGCCTCAGCAACTTAGCAAGACTCTGTCTCCTAAACAAATAAATAAATGGAAAGAAAAATCACATTTGAAGAAGCACAAACAAGCAAACAAAAGCCATGAACTTGGAATGCAGGCCAGTCCTAATGAACTCACCCTCTTTGCTTTCAACACTCCCTGGTTCTCCTTGGCCCTGGAGTTTCTCACAGTCTCTCTCACTCAGCCAAAGAGGCCGCTTGCCCTCCCTTAACCTTCTCCCCTCCTGTTCTACTTCAGCTCAGCCCCTGAGCCAGCAGGTATGAATCTTTCCTCTAACAAAGATGGGGAGTGGGGGGCGGGGAAGCTGCCTTAAATCAGCAGGGAAAGGTAAGGAAGCCCTGCTCAGCCATGTTAAATCATTGATGTCCCTTCAAATATGTATAAAAATCTTCCAGTTAAAAGGCACTTTTATATCGAGTCTCTTTGCTCCCCGGAGCTCTCCGCGGTGGGCGGAGGAAGGCTAGCGCTCCTCTTTGTCTAGGAGCGAGGCGGTGAGCATCTGTCGGCCATGACTGGCCATGACTTGGGTGACTCCGGGCCGAGCCACTGATGCCTGGAGGGACTGGGGTTCATCCCAGGGCATTTGGTTTTAAGGCTCCATGTTCCCTTTAGGGAGTAAGAGATCAAGGTGGGGGTGGGGGGCAGAGCCAAAAGAGCCATCCCTGTGGTCACCCCTGGGGCCACCCTCCACCCTGTTCTGTGCTGCTCACTCCCCCCTAACCCTAATGGGGCTCCGCGGTGGAAGGTCGATGGCAGTTTCACGACATGCTCATCCAGCTGCCTTAAAAAAAAAAAAATCATGACCTTCTTGAAAAGAAACTTCTCTGCCCCCCACCGTGGGAATGTCCACTCTGGCCTCGGTCCAGGAGCCCCACCCCGTCCAGCGCGCCCCAGGCTGCCTGTTTTCCATCCACAGAGCCACTCCCAGTTCTCTGGATGACAGGGTCTCTCTCCGCCCCTTCCCCACCGCTCCCCAGCACAGGCCATCTGTCCCTGCGCTGCCCACTCACAGCCCTTTTAATAGCACCACCTTGGGGAGGCTGGTCCCCGGGGAGGTTTCATAACCGGCTGGGGGGAGGGTGGGGACACCCCAGGGCTGCCCATGCCTGGAATGGAGTCGGCTGTTCAGGGAGGCAGGTGGCTAAAAAAGTCCTAGTGGGGGACGAGTTTCCCAGGGTGGGGGCCCTTCCTGCAGCTCCCCACCCAGATGGATGGAGGAGTGTGCGCACATCGGAAAGGAGGCAGGAGAAGGGGCAGGAGAGGGGAGAGGACGCCTTTCTAAAAATACAGCCCATCTGCACCGTGTGAGCTAGTTTCCTCGGAAACCACTGGGAACAGAGCTGGGGCATGGCAGGGCGCAGTCGTGCAGTGATCTGGGGCCTGGGTGGGTGGCAGCCAGCCCTCCTGGCCCCCGTGCGCTCACCTGGGAGGCCCCCGCAGCTCTCCTTTGGGCCTCTGTGAGGCTGAGTGCCCAGCAGCTCCCATACCAGCCCGGACTCCAGCAGGGAGTCCCCATGAGCACTGGAGGCACCATCTTGGCACCTCTCTGGAGGGCTGAGCTTCCTGCTTCTGATGGAGGCCCAGGGAAGCCTGGAGCTGCCACCTGGCCTTGCCAAAGCAGCGCTGATACAGAAGTGGGTTCCCTCTTGTGCCCTTGGCCTGTGTGCAATTGCTGGGTTTTCCATGGGAGAAACCAAGAGTGCAGAGGTGGGCAGGGACGCGGGATGCCCAACCGGCTGATAGGCGTGGTCCGTCTCAGGGCAGCAGGGAAAGTCTGAGGGCTTCACCCTTAGGAAAGGCTCGAATTAGATTTTGGAAAAGAAGGGAGCCAGGAATGAATGGATCAATCAAGGAAGCCATCCTTCCAAAGTAGGCAGCCATGCTGTGACAAAATGAGCACCAAGGTCCGGAGGCAACTGAGTGGTAGAACTAAGAAAAAAAAAAAAATTAGAAAGAGCATTGAGTACCAGCCCAGGAGTCCATGAGCCGAGTCCTGGCCCTACCTATGCAAGTAATTGCTCCTCGTTAGCCTCAGTCTCCCCGTCTTGCTTCAGCAAGCACTTTATGACCTGGGAAATGCTTTGCTAGAGGCCCACGCCTGTAATCCCAGTTGTTTGGGAGGCTGAGGCAGGAGAATGGCGAGTTCAAAGCCAGCCTCAGCAAATAGCAAGGCACTAAGAAACTCAGTGAGCCTCTGTCTCTAAATAAAATACAAAATAGGGCTGGGGATGTGGCTCAGTGGTCAAGTGACCCTGGGTTCAATCCCCAGTACCAAATATAATAATATAATAATAATAATAGGGAATTGTTACTGACCTTCAACCAAATAGTTTAAAAGAAAAAATTTTTTTTCCCTGATTTTAAACAATTGGTCCTGATTTGTTCTTCTCTCAGGTAGTGCCTAGGGACTTTTTGATATATAGACTTCTGTACCTCTTGGGGGAACCATGCATATTTCTCACACTTGGGATAATACTATATATTACTTTTGTAGCTTCTCTTCCTGTTTGTGACACAAGCATTTCCCCATATTATTAAATAATATTTGATAACTTATTGACCCATACTGTATGTATATAGTGACCTATTGATGGACATCAATCGTCTTCTAGTTTTTCTCTATTGTTCTCCGTGGTGGCCATTCCTGGAGCTAAGCCATCAGTTGCCCTCCCTGGTTTCCTAAGAGAGTTTCTCCTAAGGAGGGGGATTGCTGAATAGGAACCTTTTTAAATAATTTTAATCCATTTTACAAAACTGTCCTCCAAGATGGGCACAATGGCGTATGCCTATAGTCCCAGCTACTCTGGAGGCTAAAATGGGAGGATTAAGTTCCAGGCCAGCCTGGGCGATTTAGCAAGACCCTGTCTCAAAATGAAAAATAAGAAGGACAGGGGATGTAATTCAATGGTAAAGCACCCCTGGGTTCAGTCCCCAGTGACACATACACCCACAACAAAACAAACTTTAAAAACTGCCTTCCAGAAAGATGTACCCATGTTTACACCCATCAACAATATGAGAAAGTGCCAGTTTGGGTGCGTCTTGGCTAGTTAGCACCACAAACTTCGCCAGTTCTATTAGCCAGAAAGAAAAAGAGGATCTTATTTTAGAGTTTGACTCCTAATGAGCTTGAGTGCTTTCCTGTGTATTGATTGGCCCATTTTAATTCTTTTATGAATTTCCAGATTCTTAACTAGTTTTTCACCTCTGCCATCCTGAAGTCCCGCATAAGGGATGGTTGTACCAGGATGATTATGTGGGTCCTTTGTCCCCCACCCCAATCTCCTTCTCCTGCTGCTGGCTCCTCCAAACACACATTCGGGGGCATGCTGTGTATGCAGCTCTGCAAATGTGACCTTTCTTGCCCCGAGGTTCAGAGGCCCTGGGGTCTCCCAGAAACACCCAGCAGTCTGGGGACCTGGGACCTCTCAGCTATGGGCTGAGACCCCCACTGCAGGTGGCCTGTCCTGACAGCACATCCCCTGCTTCAGTATCACAGGGCCTGCCACACTGGCCGTGTCCCCTTCGTGCATCCTTGAGCTCCCAGTCCCGGGAGAAGCTCAGCTCTGTCCCTCTCCAGCTGTGTCCCCTCCAGAACCTCATGTCCTCTTCTGGCCCTGCGGGGCTTCCTCACACACCCCTGTGATTCCCCATAATGCAGGATTTTGCTTTGAAATGTCTTAGGGATCATCATGTGTTGCCTTTCTATTTTTTTCAAAACACATTTCAACTTTTAAGGGCAAATAACATAAGGACACTCTCGGAGTGTCAATCCGATCCCCTCAAACCCGCCTGTGCCCCTGCCCCCGCCCCGGCTCTGGCTTGCGATGTCCTTATTCGCCGGGAAGAGTCAGAGCCCGCCCCAACCTCGCCCTCCTTCCCTCCTAGGGCTGCTGCTCCACGACGTGACCATGGCGGGACTGCAGGAGCTGCGATTCCCCGAGGAGAAGCCGCTGCTCCGGGGCCAGGACGCCACCGAGCTGGTGAGTTGCCCCTTGGCGATCCTGGGGGCAAGCGCGCCACCTCGTGGCTAAAGGGAACAGGTGCCTTCCCTGCCGTCTTGATGATGTCCCTGCCTTGATAGTTCCCGGGCCAGCTGAGCAACCAGGACCCAGACAACTTCGCTGTGGCTTCGGGTCTCTTTGAGGCTGGGGCTTTGCAGGATCAATGTCCCCATGTGAATGATGTAAAGACCTAGGCATAGACAGGTGAACGCACTTAGCCAGGGTCACACAGTTAGAGCAGACCATGACAAGCCTGGGTTCTGGGCACCCCACAGCCCCCCAGAGTCACTGCTGCAGAGTGCTTCCTCTGGCAGGGGCAGAGGCTGCCTTGCTGGCAGGGCCTGCCCACATCTTCCTATCTTTTTGTCACAAGCTTCTGAGGTCCAAGGTTCACAAGTAGTGCCACCAAGATCCAGGGGACTGAGAAAACTCAAGATGGCAATTTTGTCCCAAACATCCCTCAGTTGGGAAGCCAAATGCTGGATTTCAGAGTCTTCTTCTACCCCACACCTTCTTTCTAGGGACTCCCGTCTGCCTTCCCTTCTGTCCCCTCCCAGCCCAATCCTCTCACTGATTGGCACAAACCACTTTGCAAGGAGAAGCTGGGGGTCCCCTGCTCATTAGTTCTACAGCATCAGTGGTGGGGCTCCCTGCTGGTTCCTCCATCCTAGCCCCCTCATCCTGCAGTGAGGAAGCCAAGAGTCCAGTCCTTAGATCTTCAGTCTGCCCTTCCCTGTGCCTTGCCCTGGCTCCCCCAGGCTCTCACCACAGGGAGGTGAGCCTCAGAGCCACTGAGCAGCCAGCATTGGGACCAAGCAGCCAGCCAGGGATCCAGGGGATCCAACCATGTGAGGCTGGCAGTCCTGCCCCAGAAGGGCACAGTCTTATCTTAAAGGCAAAATCTTGAGTGGGGGCTGGGGCTGTAGCTCAGTGGTAGAGCATTTGCCTAGCATGTGTGAGGCACAGGGTTCGATCCTCAGCACCACATAAAAATAAAGAAATAAAATAAAATCATTCTGTTCATCTACAACTACAAAAAAAAAAAAAAACATGTCCACAAAGGCAAAATCTTGAGTAAACTTCTGAGGCCTAGATTATTTGAGGGCAGCTATTAGGGGTCTGCAGGTGAGCTGCACACTTAGTAGGTCCTTTGTTCTAATATATTCACTCCTGACCCAAACTCCCATCTTGGTTTTTTTTTTTTTTTTTTAAACTTCAATACTTGGGATTAAACCCAGGATGCTCTACCACTGAGCTATGTCCCCAGGCCTAGCCCCGTGGCCTCACTAAGTTGCTGAGCCTGGCCTGGAACTTACAATCCTGCTTCAGCCTCCCGAGTCTCTGGGATCACAGGTGTGCACCACCATGAATATGCTTGCAAGATTCTCCTCCCTGGTCTCCTTCTGCCTTTCCTGCGTAAGACCCTTTACAGTACATCACCTCACTTCACCCAGAGCTGGTCAGTGACTGCCATCTTGCTCAGTTACATCCACAGTCCTTCCTGTGTGGCCTGCACCTGCCCCCACCCCATCTCCCGCCCTTCCCTCCTGGTCCACTCCTTCTGGCTTCCCTGAACATTGCCATCTTATTCCGGGCTGCTCCCTCTGCCTGGGAGGCTCTAATCTGGGCACGTGCAGGGCTGGATCCTCATTTTGGTCAGACCTCTGCTCAAGGGTCCCCTCCTCAGAGAGGCCTTCTCTGACCACTGGGTCTAATACTGACACCCTGCCACGTTCTGTCCCTGACCCTAGCACCAACCACCATCAGCCCCCACCCACTAGCTGCTGGGCAATCATCTGGTCTGTTTTATGCCCACGTCTCCCCGGTACCTAGTACAGCACCTTTCACACAGTCAGCCCTCAGTAAAGAGGTGGGCTAGATGGGAGCCACAGATTGTGATAAGCTCAAAAGAAAGAAACTTCTTAGAACTTTTGGAGAAGTTCTTCTTCCCCAAGACAGTTTGTCTTTTTTTTTTTTTTTTTTTTTTTGGTAGGGTACTGGGGATTGAATTCAGGGGCACTCGACCACTGAGCCACATCTCCGAGAGCTATTTTGAATTTTATTTAGAGACAGGATCTCACTGAGTTGCTTAGCATCTCGCTTTTGCTGAGGCTGGTTTTGTACTCCAGATCCTCCAGCCTCAGCCTCCCGAGCCACTGGGATTTCAGACAGGCACGTGCCATCGCGCCTGGCTCCAGTTTGTCTTTTGAGGCACATGAGCAAAGACCTCTTGTGAGATTTTGGAAGGGTTCATGGTGAGCCCCCGGGACCTCTGTGCCCATCACAACTGCCGAAGGGGGTGGCTTACAGAGGCACTGCCTGCTGGGACCAGACATGTGACTGTGGCCCTGACCAGCCCCCTTGGCACAGTGCGGAGAACTGAGGGCATCTTGGTCTGACGCCTCTGAGCCTGTGGCTTCCACTGCTCTCCTTGGCAGGTGCCCAGAGAGATGCTGCCCTTCCTCTACCTGCCTGCCCACCCTTGCTGCCTCCTTTCCTGGCTCAGTAAGCCCACCTGCCCCCCTCCTCTGCAGCCGATCTCTTCTTCATCCTGCGGGCCACGAGGATCAGACCAGAGTTAGCCACTGTGACACCCCCACTCCCAACCCCTCCGCGTAAGAGTCAAGTGTTTCCGTCTGTCCTGGAGTCTTCGCTACTTTCTTGAGTCAGCATAACCCTGTGCTGGGGACCTGGACACAAAGGCACATTTAAAGCCCAGTCCAGGGCCCAATGAAGTGTCCTCTGTGCCCACAGCGAGGTCTTCAGGTATCAGGTATCAGCCCACTGGCGGTCCTGTGCCTCCGAGAGCTGTTCAGTTTCTCTCTCAGGCTGTGACACTCACACACAGATTCCGCCTTTGTCCCTTTCTAAATCTCCTGCAATTTGCCAGGTGCAAAGTGTCGGGAGTCCAGTGAGTGGTGAATGCAGTCAGCTCCGTATCTGCAGGTGCCACACCCGTAGTTTCAACCAACCACACAGAGAAGGTATTAGAAAAAAGAATCCCGTCTGTACTGAATGGGTGCAGACTCTCTCCCTAAACAATACAGTACAACCACTATTTACACAACAGTTACCTTAGATCAGGTATTATAAGTAATCTAGAACTAACTTAAAGGGTGCTGGAGGATGTGCCTGGATTCTATGCAAATACTACACCACTTCGTAGAGAGAACTTGAACATCTGCTGATCTTGGTGTGGGGGGGGGGGGGTCCTGGAACCGATGTCCTACAGGTAGGAGGGACTGTGGTGCTTCTAACATTGCCCTGCGTCCCTCTTGCCTCTCTGGACTGGCTTGCTTTGGAGACTCCAGGGCCTGGTGGGTCCAGGGATCAGTGGGAGGCTGGGTGCTCCTTCTCCTGGGCCTGGGGGCCACCCCTGTCTCCCACAGGCCACTCTTGGACCTTCCACTCTGCTCTTTTCCTTGGGGTTTGGGCTCACCTCCCATGGCTCGGGGGGGAATTCAGACTGGCTCACATTATCCCTGCAAGTTCCCTGCTTTTGGGGGGCCATCCCCCCACGCGCCTCGTCTCCTGGGGCCCGTGCCCTGAGAGCTCACGCCATTATCTGCCTCATCCTTCTTGTCAGGTTTTGTTTTTAACAAAACTGCCGCCTCCCCCTCTCCCTGAGCTAATTGCCGGGGGAAGGGCTCTGGTACAAAACCTCCCACGGCTGCTTCCCCAGCCTGCCTCCCGCCAGGCTTAGAGTGAGAAGGTTCATCAAGAACCAGCCCAACCCCTTCCCCCGCCCGTGTCCCCTTCCCCCAGTCCTGTCCCCTTCCTTTGAAGCTCCAACAGTGGCTGCCCTGGAGGTCTCTGATCGGGCACAGTCTGCACCTCCTCCCAGCAGGCCCAGAGCTCAGCCTTACCTGCGCAGGCGCTTGTCTCCTGGTAGCTTTCCTTCCCTGGTCTCCGAAGTGGCCCTGAGAGCTGGCCCAGCTTCCTGGCCATACAGATGAGGAGAAGAGACCCAGAAAGGACGAGTTACACCCTAGAACCAGGCCCAGTGGCACAGTACCCTAGGGCTGCCTGGTGACACCCCTCCCTCCCCCGCCCGGGCTCAACTCTCCCTTTAGCTCTCCGTCCACGCCGCCTGGTGACCTGCAGGTGCGTTTGAGCCAGGCCACCCTCATGTGTGAAGTCAGATTGTTCATCCAGGTCCGGGTGTTTGGGAGCCATTCCCACCAGGCTTTGCGCGGAGAGCACAGTCAGACCTGGCCCTGTCCTTGTGGCACCTGGAGTCCAGTGGCAGGACCCGCACTGAGCAAAGATGCATATGGCCCAGTGTCACATTTGCTCAAGTGACTTGAGAGTGCACAGCAGGGGCCCAGAGAGCACCTAATGGGTTAGAAAAGTCCCTCCTCTCTGCACCCCGTGGGCTCAGTGGGCCCATCCTGTGTGACGATCACAGCGCCTCTTCCTGCCTCTGCCCCTGTGTCCTGGTGGTCGGACCCTGAGGAACGTCTGTGGGGGCAGGAGGGCCCAGCAGCCAGGATTGGAGTCCAAAATTCTCCTACTTTCTAGCCCCGGGCCCAGTCTCATCCTATAAAACAGAAATCTTTGCATTTTGAATTGGCAAACTCCTAGGCTTCTCCACTAAGTACTGGACAGCCCAGGACCTGGCACCTGGGGACCTGGTGGCCACTTTCTTTGTCGCTGACATGGACGGGATCAGAAAGCCACCCTGCTCCAGGCAGAGCCGCCAGAGGCCTCTCATGCCACCCAGAACCTGACTTGACCCCTTGTGTTTGCCTTCCCACAGGAGAACCCTGACACCTTCCTCTCAGCTGTGGACACAGACTGGAAGGTAGGTTGAGGCTCGGCCTCCCTAGATATGGAACCCACAACTGGCCAGCCTCTCTTCCCACCTGTCCAGGCCCCAAAGTGTCTGAGTCCTTCATTCCGTGTGCCCCCATCCTGGAGTGGCCAGGGCTGGGCACCCCACGGTCACTGCTCACAGCAGCTCTGCCTGACCCCTGCCCGGTGGAGAGATGCCCAAGATGGAGGCCGTGGGACCCTCTGAACAGGACAGCTGGGAAGCCAGGGGAGGCCTGGGGAAGAGGACGGAGAAGGGAGGGAAGGATGTTGTCATCTGAATCAGCATTTTCCTCCAATGAGAGCCAGCTTGACTCTGAAATAGCTCCTGTTTCCATGGCAGCAGTTGCCTAGACAACCATGTCCTCTTTAGTTTGATGCCAGATTCTCCATGAAAACCGAACCTCTGTTTTTATTCCCCTGCAGGATGAGTGTGTTCACTTGGCTAGTCACTTCTCCCCTCTGGGTCCCCTAGTGACCATTTATCTCCAGGTCTCAGAAAATATCTAACAGCCGTCACCAGGGGAGCCTTCCTGGGTGACCAGATCCCACCGTCCATCCAAATGTGCTGAGCCAACGCAGACCCTGCCTCCTGATAGACGGAAACAGCCCCCAGGCCACTGTCCTGGTCTCTGCCTGACCTCCATTTGGGTCAGTCTCCAAGCCCCGTGACAGCACTGGCCTCGTGGTCTGGACGTGGGCATGACGTGCAGGAGGTGGGGCTGCCTCTGGCTCCTCCCCGAGCAGATCCCTGCAAGGATGAGGATCTGGGCCTATGCATGGGTCCCTTGGTCACGCGCCTCTTCAAGGACACCAGGGGAGGCTTTGGGGCACACTGTGCATATGCTCAGATCCCCCCAGAACACCATCTCCAAACACCAAGGGCTTGGAGATGCAAGGAAAGGATGGGACTCAGCAGTGGGGGACTAATTGTCCCTGGAGGAGAGATGGGAGGGATGTGGCCGGGACACAGCCCAGCTTGATAGGAAGGGACGGCTAGAAATCAGAGCAGACAGGACAGGGCATTCTCTTTGTCCTCAGTGCTCCCCGTGAGGGAATAGGTGGGCACATGGGCCCTGAGGAGGGAGCTGGTGAGATAAACCCCAAAGCAGCCAACCCCGGCCCCCCCACGCGAGTCCTAAAGATGGGGGGCCCAGCCCTGCCACACACACCCCTGCTGCAGGAGGGATGGGGGGGGCCTGGGCCTGGAGGAGGCCGCTGCTGCGTGGGAAGCTCCCTTTCAGCTGAACCTCTGAGCACAGGCCAGCCCTGCCCAGGACACCACTCTTGGCAGTGGCACCCAAGTTCTCAAGATCCCTTGCTTGGTAAAGGGCACATGTTAAGAGGCACCTTCCTGTCTCCCGCAGTCACACAGCCTGGAGACAGCTTTTTAGTTTTTAAGGAAAGTGGTCACAAAGATGGCCGCCATCTGGATCAGGATCTGACATGGATTTTATCCCAAGTCACAGTGGCAGGCTGTATGACGACCTGGGCCTCGGTGGGCTCAGCCAGGGGAGATGGACCAAGACAGAGACCAACAAGCACCACACAGGCCTGAGTCGAGGTCCTGGCCCTGCCACTTATCAGCCATGAGGCCTCCAGCACAAGTCACTCATTCATTTGTAGAGTGACACAGGCAGCTGAGTGTCTGTAAGGTGACGGGGCCCACAGATGCAGTACTCAGATGCTTGAATGACTGACAAGTGGCCACCAGTGCATGGAGTCAGAGCCAGATGCCTGGGTATGTCCCTAGTTCTGTGTTCACCTAACTGTGTGGTGTTGGGCAGGTTACCAAACCGTTCTGGGCCTCATCTGCAAAGTGGATGTTAAAAGGATAAAGTGAGATAGTGTGCCAAGTCCGTGAACAGAGCCCGGCACGTGGGAGACCTTCTAATGTGTTTGCTACTCGGTGATGTGACCTCGGGCCCAGTGTGCCAAGCACTAGTAAGCTCCATGTTTTATTAGCTGGGTAGCAAAATTACTGACCTCTCTGTGCCTTGGTCTCCTTGTCCTTTCCCATAGGTTTGTGAGGGTGGTAGGGGTTACATATGCCTTCGGGTTTCTCCCATTTACAGATGGGAAGCCTCAAAGAGGTTGACTGATGTGCCCAAGGTCACATTGCAAAGAAGTGGCAGAGCTATGGCTGGCACCAGGATTTGGCTAGCAAAAGCTGAATCTGTCTTGTTCAGACACACTGCACAGCCTCCAGAGAAGGGGTCAGCAGTTGGGGTGTTTTTGTAGTTTTGTTTGGTTTTGTTTGGGATTGAACCCAGGGGTTGCTTGACCACTGAACTACATCCCCAGCCCTTTTTACTTTTTATTTTGAGAGCGGGTCTTGCAGAGTTGCTGAAGCTGGCATCCAACTTATGATCCTCCTGTCTCAGCCTCCCGGGTTGCTGGGATCATAGGCCTGTGCCACCACCTCTGGGTAGGGGCCAGCAGTTTGTAGAGGCGGGCAGATTGTCTCATGTGCCTGCCAGGGGAGGCAGGGTGGAGCCGGGTCTGGAGTGAAGTAGGCAGTTCTGTGCTCTTTCTCACAGCGACTCAGCGAGGAAGGCACAATTCCTCCCTCACAGCTGCAAAGCCTGAGGCACAGAGAAAACAGAAACATCACCAAGGACCCACCTAGGGGTTCGGCAGGACTTGTGCCCAGGTCTGTGGGTTTGCAGCCAGTGAGCTGAGCAGAATTGGGGGTAGATGCAGGGGCAGTGCAAAGCCAGCTTCTCACCTGCAGGAAGGGTGGGGAGAGGACTGGGTCGGTACATGGGGAGCAGAACTCCAGCACCTTGAAGAAGCACATGGGAGGACTCAGGGCCAGACACGCAGGGCTGGACCTGTGCAGGCTGCCTCAGCCGCCCAAGCTCATTCCTGTGTTGTGTAGCTGCAGAAATGGGGAGCATGGACAGACTGGAGGGGCTGGGGGAGACCCCGTTCCACACCACTGCACTCTTGCTAGGAAGTGAGAAGTCAGAGATGGGGCAGGGAAAGTTGTTGGTGCCTAGAGACAGAGGACACGGCCAGGAATAGTATACATGGCAGGTGTTGAGCAGGTCAGCAGGCAGCCGTGGTCAGAGCATCCGCTGCCTTCAGGTGGGGCTAGCCCGAGAGCAGGGCTGTAGACACAGGCTGGGGTGAGCCGCGTGTTCCTTCACCAGTGAGACAGAACCGGGGCACAGGTGCCCAGCACCCGCCCTTTCTGTCACTCCCGTTCTCTGCCCTAGGGCTCCCTCCTCTGGTCTCCTCCCTGGCTTACCTTCCCTCCTCCTCTGCTCCCCTCAACTGTCCTTCTCCTCTGTGGCCTCTGCTTGCATGTCCCAGGCTAGCCCCCCACCCACATTCCTGCTGCCCTGGAGGCCAGGGCATGGCGCCCGAGGTAGCTCTGTGCCCGGGAACCACACCACTGGCTCCAGGAGAAGGGTCTGTCTGGCTGGCCATGTGGAAAGCACGGGTCAGCTTGGACTAAAGGCCTCCTCTTCCTCCTCCTCTCTCTGGAAGCCTCAAGTCCCTTACATCAGGCCAGGGGTGGGGTAGAGAACTGGTGTGTTCTCCACGCCCTGCTCCTGCAATCTGCCCAGGACCCCCACCCCAAAGCCCCCTTCAGCAGTGTGGGCAAGCCCTGGGCATATATGTGGGCAGAGTGAGAGAGTGCCCTTGGCAGGTAGGGGAGAAGGATCAGTCCTCCTGAAGCAGGGAGATGACCCAGTTGTCCCCCAAAGCAATTCCTCAGGTCTTCTCAAGATCCACGCCTTCCTGTTGGGGAATCTGGGGCTCGGGGTCTGGCCTTGAGCCCTTTGCACCCAGGATGTGAGTCAGGGGCTCTGCCTCTGTGGTGCATATACCGTGGGTCCTGCCCTGCCTGTGAGAGGCCCCTGGGCACCTAATGCAGGGTGGCCCCCTGGCTCCCGTCTTATTGGGATCCTGTGTACACTGCTGCTGTTGGAGGGCGCCTGGGTGCTGGGGGGCAGGCGAACATCGAGGCAGGGGCTGGGGACCATCCAGAATGAGGTGTTGCTGGGGCGGAGAAGCAGGAATGAGGCTGGGGTGAGCGAGGACCTCAGAAGCCAATCGGAGCCAGGTTTGTCTCCAACAGCCAATCTCAGAGCAGGGACTCGGGGAGAGCTAGTGGCTGCAGGGAGGAGGGGCGGGCCTGGGCTGGGCCAGGATCTGCGTATAAATGGCCTGGGAGCTGTGCCCCGTCACAGAGCAGACTGTCTCCCACTCAGCCACCCTTTCCTCCGGACCCGAGTGACTCAGGCCTTTGTTTGCCCTCCTTGATCGAAGAGTTCCCTCCCTCGGCAAGATGCCGGAGTGCTGGGATGGGGTGAGTGAGGGCCCTGGGGACAGCCAGCTGCGCAGGGAGGACAGGGCATCCTTGTGACCTGCAGGAAGGACAAGGCATCCTCTGCCCATGTCTGGTGACAGCTCTGCCCTCAGTTGCCTGGAGTCACCGGGGCAAAGCAGGAGGTCCCAGTCTTCCTGGTGACCTGGTCTGCAGGTGCATCAGGGCAGCTGCTATTCAGGTCCTGGGGGGCGGCCTGGAGGGGTGGCATCTTCAGGATAATGGAAGGAGTGTACTGTCCGAGTCTTCTCGTGGCCTGTGCGGACCTGTGTGCCAGTGTGTGCACACCCTAGTGGGTGTTCTCTGTCTGCCATGTGCCTGTCTGAGTGGCTGCTTGGGTCCTTGGGACCTCCTCAACCCAGTGGGGGAAGAGTGGTCTGCTGTGAGCCCCAGGCTGTGCTCCTGGTGTCTGTCTGTGGTCCTGTCCTGGAGGCGTTGCCGGGAGTTTGGATGGCTGCAGTAGTGCCATCGAAAGGACAGGCAGCCTCTGCCTTAGGAGTTGCTCCTGCTTTTCCAGGGCACAGAGGAGCAGAGGTCTGGACCTGCAGGCAGGGGACCCTGCAGGAAAGGGGACAAAAAGGAGTGACCCTGATTTATTTTGTAGGTTGGGGAAGGCAGCGCTGGAGGGATGACTACATGCCCCTAGGTGGGGGGCCCAGGGCACCTCCTCCTGCCCCCCAGAGCAGCAGGTACCCAAGCCCTGTGCCACTTTACCTGAAGGAGGGAGAAGCCAGGCAGGCCTGCCCCACCACACCTGCCTGTCCGTTGGCAGACCATGCCATGGCCCACTGCATTTGCCACTACGTCAGCATCCACCGCCCATGCAGACCCTGTCCCCTGAATAATTGATGCGGCTGACAGTCGCAGCACCACCCGCAGTGTGCTAAAGCCCAGCTCAGACCCCTACTTCCTCCAGCCCTCAAGGTCACGGCGAGGAGAGCCAGGCCGAGAGGGGATGTCAGAGCCCCCTCTTGCTGCTGCAGTGCATCCCTCGGCGCCCACCTGCGGGGGGGGGGGCGGGCTCTGGCATGACGTCACCGAGAGCCAATGGGAGCGCCAGACCCTGAGAGTTGGGGGGCTCTGAGCGTGCAGACTGCGGCTCTTGGGGGAGACCCCCAACTCTGAGCTGCGGGAGTGGGGAGTGTTGGGCCTGAGCTCCCCGCCAAGGGTCAGAGGAAGCGCTGGGAGGTCGTTGGGCGGTCAAGGTCACCTGGCCCCGCAGGAAGGTAGCCGCCAGCCCTCTGCCGCCCCGCGGAGATGGGACACAGTAGGGCGGTTCTGCGGCGGCTGCAGACACTTGCAGACACACCAGGGCAGGGAGGGGACAGGCTGGGCTTCCTCACCCACACTCGACAGAGGGTGGGGCTGGGGGTCTGTATTTGGAAGGTGCCCCAGGCCCTGGTTTCTGCCAAGCAGGGCAAAGGCTGACCCAGAGGCTGCAGAGAGCCCCCGCCACAGAGCTTTGCCCTGTGCACCCCAACCTCATTCCTCCAGAGCTGAGGTTGAACAACGAGTGACTGGTGGATGTGGCAAGGACACCCCAACAGGGGCTGCCACCGTGCAGAGGCTGCCTGCTCAGGAGGTCTCTTGGGTGAAACTTGATCTCCTTAGAAAACAGCCCTTGATGCCAACTCTGGCCTCTGAGACAGGCTGTGGCAAGGATGCCACCCCTCCACTCCCACCCCTGCCCCGGCCTTACTCTAGGCTCAGAGTAGGGCTCAACCTTGGGCCAGTCACTTCTCCTTTCTGGCCTCCGTTCCTCCCCCTCTGCCTCCATTCAGCTCGAGGAATAGAGGAGACAACACATGAAAAGTGTCTAGTCAGTGGCCAGGGAGCAGGCCTGGATCTGATGCGCCCTGAGGGTGGACAGGGAGGGCTGCCTGGAGGACAGGCCTCCAGGCAGAATGTGGCTTCCAGGGTGTGGCCTCTGGCCATTGGGATGGCACCTTGTCACTCCTTGCTGACCGTGCAATCCATGAGGTGCCCTGCTTAGTCACATAGTAAGGGGCAAAGCCAGGTCCTCCTGCAAGACTGGTGACTCTGAGCAGCAAAACCCAGGCCAAGGACTCGGGAGGAGCAGGAGCTGCACTGCAGCAGCCTGGGGGAGGGGTGGGTGTCTAACCCTGCCTTGCCTGAAGGGGGACCTTGGATGCTGGGGCTTCCGGGAAGGGCATTCAAGGTGGAAGGAGCAAGGGCCCTACAGCAGGGACCTGGGCAGGGCTGTGGGGCAGGGCAGGGTGTTTTCTGAGGGTGCCAGGCAGGCCTCTGAGGCTATTCCCCTTCTGCAGCAGGGAGCCCTTGAGGATTCTGAGGTGGGGGGACTTGGGCTTGGGTGGCAGAGCCATCCTGAGGGGCTGCAGCAGGATGCAGAAACCTGGCCTCCTGGCCCCTGAAGGACTGAGTATAGGGTAGGGGGCTGGGCCTGGCCCAGGCAGCACTATCTGTTGACTGGTTTACAAAGGGGACCAGAACTTTGCTTGCAATTGCTGTTGTCGCTATGCTGAGTACCTCTGAGAACGGGTACTGCCTCTGACCCTTCCTCCCGGGAGTAGGAGCTGCTTGGGTGATGGGAGCAGGACACTAGCTGGCGGCCACCCCATAGTCCCTGAAGTCTTGGGCTGTCCCAACCACCACATTCCCCAGAAGAGCCAGGAGTGGGGGCTGCTGAGAGCATCTGGCACTATCTGTTCTCTTCAGGAACATGACATTGAGACGCCCTATGGCCTTCTGCACGTGGTGATCCGGGGCTCCCCCAAAGGAAACCGCCCGGCCATCCTCACCTACCATGACGTTGGCCTCAACCGTAAGTGCAGCCTGGTTTCACGCAGCCCTCCCCTCCGCACGGCCTCCCCTCTCCGCCCTCCCACAGGGCCTGGTAAACCCCTGCTCACTGTTAGCTCTTCTGGCCTGGCTTTCCCTGCTGGGCCCTGAGGCTGATCACGTCTGCTGCAAGCCGACAGGGCTGCTGGCCTCCTTTCCCTCCCCTACCCATCGGCTCAGCCAGCTGAGAGGTGTGTCTTTGCAGACAAGCTGTGCTTCAACACCTTCTTCAACTTTGAGGACATGCAGGAGATCACCAAGCACTTTGTGGTATGCCACGTGGATGCCCCCGGACAGCAGATGGGGGCGTCACAGTTTCCTCAGGGGTAGGTGCCCTGGAGCCCCTTCTCCTGTCCCCAGCCCAACCCCCAGGCTGCACTGGACCTGACCTCCTGCCCTGCCTGCAGGTACCAGTTCCCCTCCATGGAGCAGCTGGCCGCCATGCTCCCCAGTGTGGTGCAGCACTTTGGGTGAGTTCCCTCCTGATCTGCCACACTGTGGAGCCATCTGCACATGTCAAGCTGAGGGTTGAGGGTAGGGTCTGCTCTGGATGGGTGTCATGGGAAATGGCACCCACAGCCCCAGAGTGACCAGCCGTCCTCTGCACCAGGTTCAAGTATGTGATTGGCATTGGCGTGGGAGCCGGAGCCTACGTGCTGGCCAAGTTTGCAGTGAGTTTCTCTCCCCAACCCAGGATCCCTTCCCTGGGCCCTTTCCCCCTCCTCCTCCTCCCACTCCTCACTTATTAGATTGTTTTTTTTTTGGGGGGGTACTGGGAATTGAATCCAAGAACCTTTTATTGTTGACTTGTGTCCCCAGCCCTTTTTACTTTTGATTTTGAGACAAGGTCTCACTGAGTTGCTGAGGGTCTCACTCAATTACTGAGACTGGCCTTGAACTCAGGCTCCTCCTCAGCCTGTGAGTCATGAGGACTACAGGTGTGCATGTACCACTGCACCTGGCCTCTTGATTGATTAGAAAAGCTTCTTTTCATTTTTTCCTTCCAAGGAAATTAACTTTATAACAATAAAAAGAGGATACTTTTTCCATACATTTTTTTCAAAAGATTACTAACTATAATTTGCTTTACTATTATCCAAAGCCAGAATTTCTATTAGCAACTTACTACATCATCAGTTGCTCTACCACTAAATAAGGGTTAAGGTAACATCTGAACAAGAATAATCTTTTAACAAAATATTATACTTATTAGGGTTGTGAGGTTTAAAGTCATGTTTTAAAAACATCATGTTTGGGGTCAGGAAAACTTTTCATCTCTAAAAACAAACAATTTTTTAGCATTCAAAACATTTTTTCCTTCAATAAATAAATAAATAAATAAGCAAGAGTTTTCAACTTCATTTAGTTCCCAGTTTCAGCACTTAATCACGTGGCAGCTCGATGCTGCTCTGCGCTCCTGCAGAGGCTGGACAGGCCTGGGAGTTTGTGTGTTTCTGTTTCTTCCTGAACACGGACCCACAGTTGATCAGAAAATTCAGATCCCTTTCATGACGTCTGATACAGAACAGGCTTTGAAAAGGTCAAGTTCCTAATTGATACCACAAGGGCTTTATTTTCTATAAGAGCAAAGAAGCAACATGTTTCAGACTTTAAGATGTTTAATACTCTCAATTGCAACACCTTCAAAAATATCATTAACAGGGGCTGGGGAATGTGGCCCGGTGGTGGAGTGCTTGCCTAACATACAAGGCCCCGGGTTCAATCCCCAGCATGGCAAAAAATACATAAATAGTATATGTGTATTCACACACACAGAGAAAGGGGTGAGAAACAGTGATATATTCTAAATAAATCAAAAAATGTATAGGGGCTGGGCGAGACAGGAGAATGAGCAGGGCCCCTGACCATGGCAGCCCATGCATGTCCCCAAGCTGCGGCCAGTTGATCCATGAATGGCATCTTGAAGATTTTACAAAGCATTTTCACCTCCTCTGACTTCCTAACCATCTGTGAGACAGGCAGGACTTGACAGGATTTGACAGCCCATTTTCTAGGTGGAAGAAGGGGGCTCCCTGCACCCCATCCTTCCCGCGCCCCCCAGCCCTTCTCCCCTCTCCCTGCAGCTCATTTTCCCAGACCTCGTGGAGGGCCTGGTGCTCATGAACATTGACCCCAATGGCAAAGGCTGGATCGACTGGGCTGCCACCAAGGTGAGCGTGGTGTCCCTGGGACAGGGTGGTGACTCTGCGCGGTGCTCACACTGGCTGCCTCCTCCTGCAGCTCTCTGGCCTGACCAGCACTTTACCAGACACGGTGCTCTCCCACCTCTTCAGCCAGGTAAGGGGTGGGGGCTTCTGCAGACCCTCGCTGTCCTCAAACCAGAACAGGGGCGGCTGGGCGAGGAAGGTCACTGAGGCTTGGGAAGCTGCTGTTTGGCACCATCCCTCGTCCCATCCAGCAGGAGGAGGCAGGCGTGGTTATTTGGCATCTGACCTGTCTCGCCCCACATTCTGTTGTCATCCCTGATGCCCAGCATCTGAAAGACCCACAGGAGTGGGAGATTTCCCCTCTCCTCCCCTCTTGAGGCCCCGCCTCCCACCACCCCCCATGGGGAGCAGGGCCAGGGCTGCTCTAGAGGTGACACCCACAGGTTCCCTTTGTGCTCCCTCCTTGTCCCCTCCTCACGCCCCCGGGCACAGGAGGAGCTTGTGAACAACACCGAGCTGGTGCAGAGCTACCGGCAGCAGATCGGGAACGTGGTGAACCAAGCCAACCTGCAGCTCTTCTGGAACATGTACAACAGGTGTGGCAGGCACTTGGGCCAGGGGGGTCCCCTCCCTGTAGTCACCCATAGGAGGAGACAGGGAGGCAACATTCCCCATTTGTAGATGATGAGCAGGCTGTGGAGCCTCAGAGAGGGGTAGCTTCCTTCCCAGGGTGCACCCTCCTGGGGGATACAGGGAAGAGGGGTTTGGGCCTTTGTTAAAGGGCCTTGCTGACTGGGAGCTCTGGGGGTCATTAGCAACATTCCCGACCCAAAGACACGGAGACTGGGTGCTGACCTCTGTAGCTGCAGGAGGTCGGATGAGATTATGCGTTATAGCCACACTCTTCGGTCCTTTGGGGGTTGTCCTTTGGGAAGGTAGCCAGGCCCCCCACCACTTGCCCTCCCTCCCTCCCTTCTCTGTCTTTTGCAAGTATTTATTAAACATTGGTTGGAAGACCAAGAGCATATTTGTCCTGCCTTTCAAATGATCCAGGAGCCAGGCCAGCAGCAGAAACTCCCACGAGAATGGCAATGCCCAAATTGGGGTGTGGTGGTGCAGGCCTGTGATCCCAGTGATTCAGTAGGCTAAGGCCAGAAGAATCCAGGTTCAAGGCCAGCCTGGGCAACTTGGCAAGATCCTGTCTCAAAATAAAAAGAACTGGGCCTGGGCATAGCAGCCCATGCCTGTGATCCCAGTGGCTCAGGAGGCTGAGACAGGAGGATCATAGGTTCAAGGGCAGCCGTAGCAATGTAGCGAGGCCCTAAGCAACTTAGTGAGACCCTGTCTCTAAATAAAACGTAAAAAGCATTGGGGATTTAGCTCAGTGGTTAAGCCCCTCCCGGTTAAATCCATGTACCCACCCCCAAGAAAAAAAGAACTGGAAAGGTAGCTTAGTGGTAGAGCATCCCTGGGTTCAATTCCCAGAATCACAAAAAAGGGGTGATCCATAGCACTCTGAGGGAGATAGAGGGCAAAATCTGGGAGCCCACCTGGCCTGAGTTGGGTTTAGAAGTCACACAAGGGAAGCCCAAGGGCCCTGGTTCTGCAGAACAGGTTCACGGCTCCCTGTTTTACCAGTTGGCAGTGTTGGGTTTTGGCACTCTCCCTCCAGCCCTGGGATGCCCACCTTTGCCTCTGCCCCTCCCCTGCAGCCGCAGAGACCTAGACATTAACCGGCCTGGGACGGTGCCCAATGCCAAGACGCTCCGGTGAGTGAACGCTGGCCCTCCAGCCTGCTCTGGACTTTGTCCCCCGTGCCCAGCCCAGACAGCCTTTTCCTCTGTGTCCGCAGCTGCCCCGTGATGCTGGTAGTCGGGGATAACGCACCTGCTGAGGATGGGGTGGTGAGTGTGGGATTGTGTCCTGACTCAGGTGGGATTCAGAGTTGGATGCTCACTGGGCTCTGGCCAGCAGGGCCGATGTTTTGATACAGCCCAGGGTAGCCTCAGGGACATGCAGTGGATGGTGGCTTCCCATCTACCTCCCAGCCATCTTGCCACACTCGTCCTGCAGGTGGAGGGAGCTGGGGAGAGGAAGGAGCTGGCGCAGGGCTGGGCTGGCTGGCAGCCTGTTCCTCCAGCAGCGCAGTCCTGCCTGACTCCATGCACTTAAGGCCCAGAGCCTAAGATCTCTTCTTCTAAAATTTGACCCATTATGAAATAGATTCACTAGCAAAACCCCACTGTTCCCCTTGACCACCACAGGCACCCACAGTGTTGGGAGCCATGTGTCATCTCTCCTGTTGGAACTCTGGCAGCAGGCTGCCTGGGGGTGGGTGCCCTTCAGCACAGAAGTGGCCAGAGTAGCCCCCATGTGCCTGGGAAACAGCAAACCAGGGTATATGAGGCTGCGCTTGCCATCTTGACCCAGGCAGGGCCTCCGTCTCCTGGTGATCCCTAGCACCTCTTGCCTTATTGCCCTGGTCCTGGGGCTTCCCTAGACCCATCCACCTGAGTGGCCCTGGCTCTCCCTGTCCCACTAGCAGTTGTGAATAGGACCTGATGATGTCGGGCCCCTCCTGGTGCGGTGGGGGAATGCCAACTGGTCTCCAGGGCCTGGGGAGCCTGAAAGGAGAGCACCTGGGAAGGGCTGCCCCTGCCTACCTGTACCTCTCTCCTCTGCTGTGGGCACACAACCCACCTTAGCAGGGGTGGGGTGGGGTCTTGCTGAAGCTGGCTCCTTGTCCCCAGGTGGAGTGCAACTCCAAACTGGACCCAACCACCACCACCTTCCTGAAGGTGAGCCCTGCCTCCCAGCCCCCAAGGTGGTCATGGCCTCGGGGAGGGGCCTGTTGGGGTCCCACCCAGGGCTGAAGCAGGACAGTGTGTCTAGTCAGCAGAGCCTGTCTCAGTGGGAGCTGCTCAGCTCTCCCCACTCTCTCCCTTGCAGATGGCAGATTCTGGAGGGCTCCCACAAGTCACACAGGTGAGACTCTTGCCCTCCTGCCATTACATCACCTGCTCGGCCCACTTGGGCAGTTGTGGGAGAGCGAGGGAGGCCTCCCGCGGCACCCCAGGCAGCCTATCAAAGCTTACGCTGTCCCACTCTCCTGCAGCCAGGGAAGCTGACTGAGGCCTTCAAATACTTCCTGCAAGGCATGGGCTACAGTAAGTATCCCTCCACCCAACCCCGACCTAAGGCTGGTGGGCTGGGGGCATGCTGGCACAGTGTGGACCCAGGTGCTGGGGAGCCTGTGGGCACTTGGGCCATGCTCTCTGGACTATACCTGTGTTCTAAGTTGCATGTCCCAGGCCAAGCTGAGGCCCCTGTGCCTTGGAGGCAGCCTCGGGCACGCTTCTGAGGGCAGTACCAGGCCTGTTTGGGAAAGAGAGGCCTCTTCTCCCAGTCCAGGGCCTAAAGCTTGGTCCTGCCAAGAAGCCTGAGGTGAGTCACTCACCCGCTGCTGGGCCGGGAGACATAAGGACTCTTAGGGCACCTGAGAAGGCCCTTTGTCACAGGTGGAGGGTGGTACCTAGTGGCATTATGGGAGTGGGCTTGCGGTCTGGGGACCAGGGAAGTCAAGTGGGCCCATCTGGGTGTTAGGAGACCTGAAGACAGCCAAACCTGGGGGAGGAACACTTGAAGACCCTGAGGAAACAGGACATGAAGGACCAGCTCCTGTTCCCTATCCTTTCTGAAAATTTGGGGCAGGGATGGTGAGACTCCGGTACATCCATCCCCAGCACACCCACTGGCAGGAAGCAAACTTTCTGTCCCCAACTCGCTTGTTTTTTCCTCAGACCTCACCTGTCTCTGGAGCGTGTAACACTTTGGAAGAACTGATGGGGTCGACCTGGGGGAGTCTGGGGGATAGTGGGGACATAGCCAGGAATAAAAGCCCTTGGCCCCAGGGCCTGCCAGCCTCTCTGAGAAGTAGAGCAGAGAGGCCAGGGCCAACAGGGAGGTACCTCCAGGGTCTGAGGCTGGGCCCTGTGCATGCAGGAAGCTCTGAGAACATTCTGGAGGTGATGAATGAGCACCTGCCCCAGTGACCTCAGGGGCCCTAAAGAAATCCACCAGACAGCTGGAGCTGGGAGGGATCTGGGAGATTGTGCAGGCCTCTGCCTTCTGTAAGTGGGGAGACTTCACCCACAGAATAGTGAAGGCACTAGGCCTAGAGTATGGGCCCAGAAAGTCTTGTCCACATGAGCCTCTCATTGTCCCTGGCCAGGGTGGGAGGGGGTTAGATGAGAACCCCCATCCAAGGGCTCTCTTGGGGCAGACTGAGATTAGTCCCTGCTGTAGGTCCTTCCAGGGGCTGCTCTTGGGTGGGCTTGCAGGACTGGGCTCCTGTGGCTTGGCCCTGTGTGTTTGTCTGATCTCTTTGGTCCATCTCGATGCCCTGGCCTCAGCCCAGCCATGATCTTCACAGTGTTGTGTCTCCCTGTCCCCACCCCCTCTCTGGCTCTTCTCTCTTAGTTGCATACTTGAAGGACCGAAGGCTGAGTGGAGGAGCAGGTAGCCCTGTGGCCCCTCTCCTGATGCATGGACACCCCTTCCAGCCTCTCCCCTGCTCCTTCCTCTGTGCAGTGCTGCAGCCAGGTTGCATCTTGCTGTGATTTGGAGACCTCTTGTGTCCTGCTGCACTCAAAAACTCAGAAGATTCCTGTTCTTCTGCAGATCCTGGTCCACTGTGGGCTCTATCCTGTTCAGGGCTGGGTCTCAGAGCAGTCTTGCTTCTAGAATGCCATGGGCTGCGGGGCTTCCAGAGCTCTGGGAGTTAGAAACAGAACTTCCTCAGAAGTAGAGCCCAGGTCTGGCCTTGTGGGCAGCCATGCTGGCCCTGGCCAAGCCAAACAGGCTGGCAGGCGAGTGGGTGGGCAGGTGATTTCAGGCGGGTGAAGTTTGCTGCCTGCAAGTCTCAACTGTGAGAATGAGAGCAAAAATGGGCAGCTTGCAACCATGACATATGTCCTCCTTTACAAAAGCAATCCTGCTTCCCCATCCCATCATCCTTTTTAAATTCTAGTACTGGTGTTTGTGGCTACATCCCCAGCCCTTTTTGAGTTGCCCAGGCTGGCCTCTAGCTTGCAATCCTCCTATCCCAGCCTTCTCAACAGCTGGGATTACAGGTGTCACTGTATCTGGCTCCCGTCATCCTCTTGGGGGAGGCCTGGTTGGAAACAGGGGCGCCTGGTCAGCACCTTCCCTGTCCTGGCCATAGCTCTGGCACAAGGCCCCACTGGCCACAGCCCCTTTGGCCCATTCACCATTGCCAGCCCTGCATGCCTCAGGCCTGATGGTGCCAGTTCCCTGGCTTGGGATGGACCTGTGTCAACGGAAGACTGGGTCTCGCTGGCCGCTTTGCTTGTGTTATCCTTTTCCCAGCCGCTGCTGCCTCGCCCTACCCGGCGGTCCTCACACCTGTTCCGTTTCTGTCCACAGTGCCCTCGGCCAGCATGACCCGTCTCGCACGCTCTCGCACCGCATCTCTCACCAGTGCCAGCTCAGTGGATGGCAGCCGCCCACAGGCCTGCACCCACTCAGAGAGCAGTGAGGGGCTGGGCCAGGTCAACCACACCATGGAGGTATCCTGCTGAATCCCTGGGCTCCACTCAAGACACCTACCCACCTGCATCGAGGTCCCACTGCCATCCCCGCACCGGCTCATTTTCCCTTTAGTTTATTTTTGTGAGGGCAAAGGGGGGAAATGGGGCTACTTCTTTTAAAAAATGAGGGGATCCACCTTAGATGCTGCAGCATAAGTCTGCAGATGGTTTGAGGGGTCCCCATCCCCCACCCTCATCTCACTCCCCATGTGAACTTGGCTTATCAGGCCCTCACATCCAACAAACAGCCTGGACACAGGGCTGGGCCTCAGGGAGGATGGGGTTAGATGAAGAAAGAGTTGGAGTTCTTGGGCCAGGATCCAGGATCATTCCTGGATTAAAGGAAGAATATGGCTCCACCCTTGGACAGGCAGGTTTGGAGAAGGGACGAGGTTTTGAGATGGTCAGTGTTGGGTTCAGACCCTGATGTGGGGGCCAGGAAAGAGCAGCCAGGGACCCTGGAGCTCTGAAGGCCTCTTGCATTCCACCAAGCACATCCGTTTCTGGTTTGTAGTACAGGTGCTAAGCATCTGGACAGTGACTACAAGGGGGCGCTCTGGCCAAGCTGTGGCTTTGCTGCAGCGCCCAGGCTAGTGCTGTAGGGCCAAACAGGGGCTGAAGGGAGTTTCTTGGCCTAGGGACATGGAGAATCCTGAGGGCAGGAACCCCAACACAGTCCATTTCTAGGCTATACTCTGCCACTTTCTGGCCCTGTCCCATTCTGAGCCAAGGCCTCCCTGAGGCAGATGTTACCTATCCCTCTCTAGTGACCTGAGGACAGGGAAAGGACTGGGATTGCTCTTGTATGTTTTGTATACCCAAGAACTTCAAGGTTACCACCTGTGGGAGCCAGCAGGTGGCCAGAGGCAGTGTAGCTTAGAGTTCCTTAGACCCCTGTTTGCCTTAGTCCCAGAGGGGAACCCACTCAGCAGCAGCGTGCTGTCCAGCAGAGCTCCTGTGCAGTGGCAGCATCTCCAGCAGGCATCACTGAGGAGGCAAGTTTATCTGGAGAGGCTGGTACAGGGCGGCCAGACTCCAAAGCCCCATGTCACTAACTACCTGCTGGAGTGGGCACGGGCTGGGCTTGCTGGGTCCTGGGGTGGCAGATGAAGGTTCTTGAAGTAAACAAGGGGCCAGGCAGAGAAAAGCTCCCTATATACACAGAAAAACTCCCCTCCTGCCCCCTGATGCCCAGGACTGTTGCCATTTATTTCCCACCCACACACCTTACCAGGTATAATCTCCCAGCCCAGAAAACAGAGCCATTTGTCTCAGCCTAACTAAATTGTCACGACCCCCACTCCCCCCAGAAAGGAAAGCACTGGAAAAATGAAGGGCTGCCAAGGGGTAGGGTAGTGTGTGGGTGTTCTGAGGCTGAGGACTCCAACATCTGCACTTCCTCACACACACAGCCTCCTTTCTATAATCTTAAGCCATTACTAGATTGCTCTAGGGCCTGGTGGAGTGTAGTCTGTCCTCAGTTCTGTTGACTCACGTGCTTCCTTTGAATATTGAATGTGACTGTTTAAAGCTGGTAGAATTAACCCTCTTACTGTAGATAGAACTGCAAGTATTTTTGTTTTTTTGCTGTGTTCTTTCTGATATCTATAAATATCTATACATTATATATATATGTATATTGGGTCCTCCTGGGTGTGGTTTTTCATTGGAGGTTGTCTCTTCTTTGATCAAGGTGAACTTTTAATGGGGAGTTTATTATTTTCCTCTCTGTACAAAGTGAAGAGCCTAATTTTGTGTATTCTGGTGGCTGATGTCCTAAGACTTTGAGATGACAAAATGTAAAACAAATAAAACCCTTGTCAATGTAGAAAGAGTTACCTGTACTGAAAAACTAATAAACTAAGAAGAACCTAAGTGTGGCCATGCTGTGTGGAAGCTTTCCAAGAGACAGAATGTTTCATGCTGCCGGGGCCAGTGCTTCTTGGGCTTGGGTGGGGTGGAGGGTGCCGGTTGAGGGCAGGGGCTGTTTCCACCCATCTCTACATTTCCACTTATCACCTTACCTATCTTAACATCAATTCTACAGAATGGATAATCTGTTTCGCCGTGTTAGAATAAAGGATCTGCCCCATGTGAGGCCAAGCTCGAATTAACTTGGCCTTGTTTGGCTACAAAACTGTAACTTGTAACCCATTCAGGGCCTCGTTTTCCCAAAATTAACAGCAATTTACTTCTCCATGTTTAATCCCAACTGGCTGCATTCACTACTCATTTACACATACCTCCTACACGACAGCTAATTAAAAAAAAGGTACATAAACCCGCCAAGCGGGAGGCAGATGGAAATCGGGCAGAGGGGTGTTCTGCGGGCTCCGGAGCCAGCTGGGGCACGCCACTCTCCAACAAACGCGCAAACTCTCCCAACCGGACAAATCACGGTCGCATGGCCCTCGGTAACGGGGGCCGGGATCCGGGACACCCTTGAGGGGAGCCCGCCAACCGACAGCCGCCACGCCCTCGGAAAGAACCCCGATTTTGTTCTCGCACGGACTTCTACCGCAGGAAGCCTCGGCTCTCGGGGCCAGACCGGAAGCAAGCAGCGGAGGGTCCAGGCTCCGGACGGCTGGGGACAGGCCTGCACTCGGGTTGCGCGTCTTCTAAATCCAATTGGAAATCGGAGTTACGGACGCTCTGGGAACAAACGGAAACCCTCACTCCTCTTCGGCGCCGACGCCAAAACCCGGCCCCCGTGGTTCCGGCACGTCCCGCCCGCCAGCGTCCTGTTGGGGCGGGGCCAGCAGCGCCGGAAACGCCGGCGCGGGCACGCGGAGCGGTGGCGCGGGCCACGAGTCGGACCATGGCGACCCGGACCAAGCGCCCGCGGGTGAGTGGCGGGCGGCCGGCACCCGGCCCATCGCTCTGCCCCGCCCTGAGGCAGCCAGCGCGCGCCACTGCGCCCCCAGCCGCAGGTCCGGTTCCCCTCTTCCGCGTTCCCTCCCCCAAGCGAAGCGCGTCTCCCGCCCGCGCGCGCCGCCATCCCCGCGGGCTCCCCGGGGCGGGGCCTCGTCACTCGGCTCAGTTATCTCAGGTGGCGCAACCGGGGGGCGGAGGCGAGCCGGACTCCGACCCAGTGGCTGGCTTCCTGAGCTGGTGCGGGCGGGTAGGGCTGGAGCTGAGCCCCAAGGTGAGTGGAAGTGCGGCGGGGTGGAGGGGCGCGCGTCCCCGATTGCTCTGACTGGCGTTTCTCCTCCCCTCGCAGGTGGCGGTGAGCCGGCAGGGAACTGTGGCCGGTTACGGCATGGTGACTCGTGAAAGCGTGCTGCCCGGGGAGCTGCTATTCGCCGTGCCGAGGGCAGCGCTCTTGTCGCCACACACCTGCTCGATCCGGGACTTGCTGGAACGAGGTGGGCACGCTGGCGGACAGAGTTATCGAGGCAGGCCCTATAGCCGTGCCGGGGCGCTCACTCCTGTGCCTTCCCTAGAGCGAGACGCGTTGCAGAGCCAGTCGGGCTGGGTGCCGCTGCTGCTGGCGCTGCTCCATGAGCTGCAGGCCCCAGCCTCGCTGTGGAGCCCCTACTTTGCGCTGTGGCCCGAGCTGGACCGCTTGGAGCATCCCATGTTTTGGTAAGCGCAGTGGGAGGGGTTGTGGAGCTCCCATTTCACTAATTGCTCCAGCCACCCTGCCCTGGGTGGGGGACCAGGCCCCCACGCACTGGTCATGATAGAGTGTGAAGGGAGCTGCTCTGGGGTGTACCTGCAGGCCAGAAGAGGAGCGCCAGCGCCTGCTGCAAGGCACAGGTGTCCCGGAGGCAGTGGAGAAGGATTTGGCCAACATTCGCAGCGAGTTCTATTCCATCGTGCTTCCCTTCATGGAAGCCCATCCGGATCTCTTTGGCCCCAGTGTTCGCTCCCTGGAACTCTACCACCAGCTAGTGGCCCTTGTGATGGCCTACAGGTCAGCGAGTAAAATCTTGGAGGACCCAACTTTTTAGAACATCATTGAGGGATAAGGGTGGTGGAGGAAGAAGACAGTGAGCTCCACTCGTAGTCCCCCACCCAAACCTGGGCCTTAGCCAAGTTCTCTCTGTGGCAGCTTTCAAGAACCACTGGAGGAAGAGGAAGATGAAAAGGAGCCGAATTCCCCTTTGATGGTGCCTGCTGCAGACATACTAAACCACTTAGCCAATCACAATGCCAATCTAGAATACTCTGCAGTGAGTGGATCTCACCTAGTTTCTGTTATGTGCATTGACTGAGCATCTGATTCAAACTAGTGTACTTGGGTTCAGTTTTCCTACTCATACTAAATATGAGTGGGTGAAATATGAAATTCTGTGTAATTGTGGTATGCATAAGGCAGTAAAGTCATTTGTACACAAAACATTTTAAAGCCCTCAAGAAATCCTGATAAGCTGGGTGTGGTGGCCGGGAGGCTAAGGCAAGAAGATTGCAAGCAACTCAGTGAGACCCTGTCTCAAAAAAACACCATTAAAAGGGCTTGGAATGTGGCTCACACCCCTGGGGTTCAATCCTTGGTAGCAAAAAAAAAAAAATCCTCACATAAATCGTTATTACCACCATTTACTTGGTGCCCGTACTGGGTGGTATGCATAGCCATGTTTCCTTCTCCACTGGCTGCTCTGGCCATGTCAGTGAGTCAAGACTCAGTTAGCCCTGGGGACAGCAGCCTGGAATGGCTATGGTCTCAGTTGTTTTCAGGAGGAGAGGTGCGAATGTTCACAAGCCCAAGTCTAACTTGGGTCAGTTCTATTCTATAGGAATATTTGACAGACAGTGAATGTTGCTATTAATAGTTTCACCTGTTTTTTAATATATTGATCTGGGTTTAATGGGTTTTTTTTTTTCACATCTTCATACTAATAGTTTATTTTTAAAAGCTAACTTTTTCAGTGCAGAAGATGAACAAACAAAATTTACCTAATATCACAGGTTGGGATCTTTTTAGTTAGGCCTCCCTTTCAATCTATAGTATAGGGTGTGACAGGAACTAAAAGCAGAATGGGGGTAGATACAGCTCAGTTCCCTGGCTGAGTATACTTGTTGGAGGCTTTCCTAAGAGGAGTGTGATCTTCGTGGGGTTGGCCTCAGAAGGGCATGGCTCCAGCTTCTCCCTTTCATCCCAGGATTATCTTCGGATGGTGGCTACCCGGCCCATTCCTAAAGGCCAGGAGGTTTTCAACACTTATGGACAAATGGCTAATTGGCAACTTATTCACATGTATGGTTTTGTTGAACCATATCCTGACAACACGGATGACACAGCGGACATTCAAATGGTGACTGTCCGTGAAGCTGCAGTACGGGGTGAGTTGTCTCATTAACTTGTCTTTTGACAACCACAGCTGTGTCTGTACCCATGCAGCTTAGGTTATAATAGCTTTGCTAAATAGTGGTTAACTTATTGAAAATAAGTTCCTGGGTATACCAAGACTGGCCCTGTTACTTTATCTATAGGAACAAAAGGTGAAGCTGAAAGGCTCCAACTATATGAGCGCTGGGATTTCTTATGCAAACTGGAGATGGTAGGGGAAGAGGGTGCATTTGTGATTGGTCGTGAGGAGGTGCTAACTGAGGAGGAATTGGCCGCCACACTCAAGGTAAAGGGCTGAGAATTGTCTCGTGTAAAGGTGATTAACGAGCAAGTACTTAAATGACCCAGACCCATGGTTGTTTTCAGGTCCTGTGCATGCCTGCGGAGGAGTTCAGAGAGTTTAAAGACCGAGATGGATGGGGAGAAGATGAATGGGAAGAGGACAGACTAACAGTCACAAATATCCCCAAGCTCAAAGCATCATGGAGACAGCTTCTACGAGACAGTGTTCTTTTGACTCTGCAGACCTATGCCACAGACTTAAAAACTGAGGAGGACGTACTCAGTAATAAGGAGGCCTATGCAAAACTCAGCTGGAGGGAAAAGCAGGCCTTACAGGTTAGGTATGGTCAGAAGATGATCTTACATCAGTTACTGGAACTGACAAGTTAGCAGATTATTTAACTTCTTAGTCTAAACTGACACTTTGTTGCTCAAGAAGGGGAAGGTTTGAATCTTCTGCATTTATTAAATACCAAATGGAAAAGAAGCAAAGGTGCTACTCTAAATACTCTTGAAGGTGACACACATTAGGGTTGGAATCAACAGACTTGGGAATTACTCCTAATAATTAAGAACAGCACATTTTATAGCCACTTTAACAAAAGCCAGGAGAAAGATGATATTCATAGCACTTAGTAACATGGACTTTAGAGGAGGACCAAATTCAAATCTGGGTCTGTGATAAGGAAGTCACTTTAGTAAGTAATATCACTGAAATTGGCTTTACTCGCACTTTCAGTTGTCTGAGTTTACTCTGGATGGCATGCCTTCCAATGGATAAACCTGAAGATACCAAGGACAGTCCCCTAGACCTCTGTTGTTTTATGTGTAGGGAGGGAAAAAAAGGGTCAAAATTAAAGGTAGGGTAATTGTAATTGAGACTGTGTTTTACATACCGACTCATCCATAATTCAATTTGATCACAGAAACCTGTTCAAACAGTTTTCTCCTGTTGAAACAACACTAAACAATTTCTTGGGAAAGTGCTGTCTGTCATTCAGGAAGTAGAAGTTTCCTGGGTTCCATCTCCAGTACTGCCCTACCCGCACCCCCGAGGGCCCGAAAAGATGTTTCCCAATGGCTCTTGGCTATTCAAGGCTAGGCTGTCCACTTTTTCTCACCAACCCTAGCAGCTGCTGCTACTGAGAAAGGCACAGGGGACTAACATGAATGTCATGAGTTTTAATGTTTAACTTCAGAAGTGGGGGAGCTAGAGCTTAGGAACTAGGAAGTCTACAAAATAGAACTCATGGGCCAATATATTCACAAAACATTTAAGATCCTTATAAAAAGGGGACTGCATGGTCCTTAAGATTTTGTTAAGATGCAGCTGTTCCTAAGTAAAATGACTATGAAGGGCAATTTGGTAAGGTTCCTTTTTCCAGAGTTTGCCAGTATCAGGAGAGGACAGACATAGGAGCTTTAGGTTTGGGCTAGCTTCCCTTCATAAGAACATGAGCTGGCCTCACTCAGGTGCATGTTCTCAAGCAGGACTTGCTTTCCCTTTGGCACGCATGCTTTTTCCCAAAGCTAAACAACTCATCTCAATTGTGAGCCCTGGCATATCAATTCTATCACATCATATCTTTTAGTCATTTTTTTTAAGGTCTCCTATCCACATTAACAAAAAATACATAATATTTAAACTGGCTTTTTAACTATTCTTTGGGACAGTAAAGTGTCCAAAGACATGGAACTATGCCCTTTGGCAAGTTATTGGCATTAGCTGCCTATTGAAGGATCCAGTTTATGTACTTGCCTTGAACACATTTTGTACAAACTCAAAAAGTTCCAGACAAAAAAGTTTTCTCTTTCATATATTTACACAAGTTCAAAATGATATTCACAGCATCTTCTAAATTTTGGCCAAGAGTCAAAAAATGCATTTAAACTTTGGAACGTGCCCACATAGACAGGAGGCTGATCCCAACAGTAGTTGGGGCAGGCGCCTGAGAACCAAAGGGCTGGAAAAGTCAGGAGGAACTGAGAGGCTTCTTCAGTTTATGGACTTGGTGCAGTGGGACCACGAGTCTGACACAACAGAGATACAGTTCATCTAACTGGCACCTGTCCCTTCCATTACTTGCTGAGCCTGCTTCTGTCCCATGCAGCACTGTGCAACCGACTGGAATAACCTGAAGAATGGAGACAATAACAAGTTTACTTGAGAGGAAAGTTTAGGCCTAATAATACCTAGAGCTTTAGCTGCCACTGCCTTCTTAATCACAGACCCAAGCTAGAGAGAATAAACGAAATCTGTCCCCTTCCACTGCTAGATAATTAAAAATTACTTTTAACTCACTTTTCAATTTCTGGGGCACAGTGTACAAATTCGTGGTTCCAGAACTTAAACGCTGGATTTTTAATTAGTTCAATGAAGGTAATAAGAAGACCCCAAGGATGTGGCCTATTTACAATCAACCGTTCCAACAGAACCCTGGAGAAAGGAAGAAAGGGTTGGTTAAAGCACAGAGAATATGTACAAAAGTATGATCATGTCTATTACCTTATTTCATAACTTTTTTCCCCCCATGAAATCAAATTTTATCTTCCTCGCACATGTGAAGCCCTGGGTTCGATCCTCAGCACCACGTAAAAATAAATAATAAAGATATTGTGTCCATCTATAACTAATGTAAATAATAAAAATAGAAAGCTAGATTTAAAAAACACAAAACAGATTAATTAATCTACCTACCTACACAGCATAGTAAAGCATGCAGTAACTAGTATACCTGGGGATTTGAATCCTGTCCCTGAGCTCTAAAAGTAATAATGGTTCCTATCTGAAAGATGATCAGAATAGGATGAAAGGCAGAAAGCCGATAAAATACACAGCCCTCCAAAAATGAACATCCAATGAGAGCTGTGGAAAAAATTCTAACACTACTAGTGCATGTGTAAACTATTTACTTAAATAGTCATGTCTTTTGACCTACCAACTATAATTCTAAATTTGTCCTAAGAGAATGAAGATTAAGACTTTACTGCAGATTCATATACAATCACAAAAGGGTACATTGTTATCTAAGCATCCAATAATAAAATCAAGTTTTCGAATATAAATCCAAGAAACCATACTTAGCACAAGTATTACTATTATTAAGTAAATCGACAAGTTTTAAAGTGTATATATAGCACCAGAATCTACCTATTTCCCAATCTTTAATCCTACGTATAACCCAAGCAATCTGAAACAGACTTGTATGTTAGTAAAATATCATTTTATTTCTCCTGCTTAAGACCTTCCTTTCCACCCAGAAGTAATTAAAAAGAAGAAAAAAAAAATCAGGATTTTTGGTGAGGTACTTATTAGGCCTGTACTGATTCAGAACTCTTGTCAAAAATACTGCTGCCACTCCTACCACTACCACAAAGAAATTCCTGCCTCTCAATAAAAATGTGCCCTTTAAACAAAAAGTTAACATTTTAACAACAGTATTAAGAGGGCATGGATCCTGATCACAACTATATCCCATACTTAACATGGTATTTAGACATGTGAAAAATATCCAAACACCTGAGTGCAAAGAAAAGAACTCTTAAGAATTCTAAATGAAGAGAAAGGAGCCAATTTTGAACAACTTGAAAATGACTTTTTTTTACCTTGTGATCTGTTCCTGGATAGCTTCAGTGTTGGCCTCTGCAAAAAGGTAGAGCATGGTGCAGCTGAAGTAGTGAGTGTGGCTATTTGGGTACCGCAGCTGATTTGCAATTGCATTCAAGAAGAGATACCGACCTAGAAATTAAAGAAATTAATGAGGCCTTGCTCTAAAAGGCCAACATAGGAAGGAAAAATAAGATTTGGGCTTCTTAGAGAGGCTTTCAGTCTCCCAGAGAGTTTCTCTTTGTGGGTTTTTACTGTGATAGTTCCAACATTAGAAATTTAAAGGTTTTTGTGTTTGTTTGTTTTGTTTTTAAACTGGGGTAGGTGGCGCTGGGCTAGAGACTGAACCCAGGAGTATTCTACATCTGAACTGGTATCTCCACACTTTTTGAGACAGGGTCTCTGTATATTTCTAGGCTAACACTAAACTTATGATCCTCCTGACATAGCCTCCAGAGTTGGTAGAATTATAGGTATATGCCACCACACCCAGCTGAATACTTTGTATAAAATCCACTTAGTTAATGTAAATAACATTAAAAAAATTAGCCTAAAAATCCAGTGAAAAGGTGTTTTAACATTTTACATGTCCCTTTAATGTCATCATGGAAGAAAACTGGATTCTCATTTTTGTCTATACATTTAATCAGTTGTAGCACATTTCATGCAGTCTATGCGGAAATTTTCCTATATGCTGTGACAGACCACAATAAAATTTTGTCTTATTATTATGCTTCACAGCCCATCTAAGAAAGTCTTGAAAATGCCCCTCAAAGTTTTAAAACCACACTTTGAGAATGTTAAGTTTAATAAGCCATACTGGAATTAGTATTAACTGGGTTTGGATGTCTGCCTGAGCATGATGTTACTCATGGGTTTTTGTTATTGTTCTCTTAGTTATATATGACAGCAGAATGCATTTCAATTCATTGTACACAAATAGAGCACATTTCAATTATCTGGCTGTACATGATGTAGAGTCACAGCATTTGTGCAATCATATATGGATGTCACTCATGTTTATGAAGCTATCATAGTCACCCTGCACACTTCCCTAATGGCTGTCCTCCTTTTAGTGCTAAGGTCTGGATGTTAATAATATTCAATTTCGTCAAATCTTGATTTTAAGCTCTCTTGAATCCCTTCTAAAACAAGCAGTATATATATACTCAAGATTCCTTAGTCTCTGAAGAATCCACAGCAAAGTGAAAAGTAATACTACTTCTAAAGTACAATATGCTAAAATGAGTAGGACTGTATAACAGCTATTTAGCAGCTAACTGGGGTTCCCACTATGTAAGAATGAATACAGAGCACCAAAAGAAATGTAGCTCAACCAGGAAAGATGCAAAGTAATAGGAACTGTACTGTGAACTTCCTGAAAAATAGTTAGGGAAGTCCTGTTTATTTTTTATTTTTATTTTTTTTGTGGATTGAACCCAGGGCTTTGTGCTTGCAAGACAAGCACTTTACCAACTGAGCTATACTCCCAGCCCCCTGTTAAAATTTTTATACCTCACATTTAGTATGTCTGCAAACAGGCGCCAATAAATGCTTGAGAAACAGCAGACTAATAATGTAATATAAGCCAATGTTTTAATAGACTACCAAGTTATTTGCATATTAGAATAATCACAGAGACCAAAATATTAACTGATATGGCAGAATTTTGAATAATTTCTTTTGGTGTCTTTTACATTGAACAGATAATGTCCAATGAAAGATAAAATAACCAGCTATACTTATAAATATACTGATAGAATATTCTTTTATTGTAGCTTAAAGCATTTTTATATTTTGTGATCAGACTGTTACCAAAAAATCCAGAAAATTTGTGTGGTCTGGCTGGCTTCACTCACCCTCAGTGTCCAAATCCACAGCCAGGTTCTGGAAGATGTCCATGTGTGCTGAGTGGGTGATGGTGCTCATTGAAGGCGTGCTGCCCTTGTTGTGGATATGTGCAATAGCCTGAGTCCCTACATAGAGCACCAGTGCATTGATGAGCTGGAGGTTGTAGCGATTGCCAGGCTCATTGGATACCTTAAATGAGCAAAACAGAAAACTTACTCATAGAACTCACTCTAGCACCAATATTTCTAAACTTGCCTCCATAGAAAGGCTAAACTACTCTCTGTGTTCTTTGTGATTTAATTAATAGAACCCTACTTAATTCAGTGAGGTCATTTAACAAATATATAACTGCCCTAATAATGGTTCTTCCAATAAAAACATGAGAATCCAAACAAATATCATCACTATGTTTATGGCATAATTCTAAATAAAGTTTATCAAGCCAAAACATGCAGTTACAATGAAGATCTCAGTTGTAGATATGATGACAAATGCCTAAAATCCTAGCTACATAGGAAGCTGAGG